CACTATTTGTTCTGATGATCTTCAACAAATAAAACTTGTGCTTATGAGCAGACAAAACTGACAGATGTTTGTGATGACAGACATTCTAATCTGGGAGATGGCAGACCAGGAGGGTGGTCCTTTCAGTCCCCTTCCTGCAAACTGATAGGACAAATGTAAGTTTGTCTGTGTACTTAGTCTGAGAAACCATGAGTATCAATAACTAGGAATGAAAGATGCCCCACAGGCACTGATGGGCAATAATGTGTTCAAGAGTTGGGAAAGTCCCATCCTGATGTGTAAGAACTGGTTTTCTAAGACAGAAGGAGCAGGGATTCAAAGAAAGCAGAAAGAGAGCCAAGATTGCACAAAGTAAATATATATTAGACACTTACCATAGATCTTCACCTGGCAGGATCAAGGGCTCTATGCTAAACTGTACATTGGTGAGCTGTGGTTAATAGAGACATCTTTCTCAAAATGTATCAGCATGTCAGTCAGAAGATGAAAATCAAATGGCTGAGAAACAAAGAAATGTTCAACATCCTTAGTCATCAGTGAAATGCACATTAAAACTACTTTGAGATTTCATCTTATACTGGTCAGAAAAGACAAGATCATGAGAACAAATAGTATCTTGCTGGCAATGATGTGGGTTAAGGGGGATATTCATTCATTTTTGGAAGGAGTGCAAACTTGAACAATAATTATAAAAAATCAGTGTGGTGGGTAATCAGGAAGCTGGGAATAGTTCTACCTCAAGATTCAGCTACATCACTCTTGGACGTATACCCAAAGGACTCAACATTCTCCCCAGAGACACTTGCTTATTTATGTTCACTGGGGTTCTATTCATAATAGGCAGAAATTAGAAACAAACTAGATGTCTATCAACAGATGAATAATAATGAAAATGTGGTACATCTATACAGTGTAATGTTGAATGCTATTCAACCATTAAAAAAACACAAAATCTTGAAATAGTCAGGTAAATGGATGGGGCTAGGAAAAAAATTATCCTGAAGGAGGTATCCCAGACCCAGAAAGACAAATATGGCATGAATTTGCTTATGTATGAATGTTAGCTTTTAAGTCTTAGATAAGCATGCTAAGGTCCTTAAAAGCATAAAGGTTAGATATAGGATAAAACACTTGGGATGATCTTTCAAGTAAGGGGAACTAGAGTACATAGTTAAGAAAGAGACTGGAATGGGAGGATAGGAAGGAAGAGTCTGGAAAGGGAGGGGATACAAGAGGGACAACTAACACTAAGGGCCATTTGTGGGGTCATATGGACACCTACCACAGCAGAAGCTTCTTTAAGTATATACACATATGAAAGAAATCTAGATAAAATCACCAAATAATGGGGAAGAGACAGTACCCCAACTTGATATCTTTTACTGCCAAGTGAAACTTCCAATGCTGGGAATGGGTTACATCTTGTTAAGTTGCTTGCCAAAGGAGACCCATAGAAACCTCTAAATCACTCAGGTTGCTGCCAGTGCTATTGGTTGTTTTCCACAAACTGATGGCAAGACCCTATTGCTGAATACAACACTTACATATTTCATTGAAGAAGAAGTTGAGATGATGCCTAACTGAGCCTTCATCACTACTGGCTAATGATGTTCATGGTACTTGAAATTACTCTGCCTGCTACCAGAGAAGAAAAGTAACCACCAACCAAGCTATGATCCTTGTAATCTACATTGGTGACCTTCCTGCATGACACACTGGTGTAATAATGGCACAGAAGTTGTGGGAGTCATCAGCCACTGCCTAATTGAATTTAAGATCCACTTCCTGAGATGGAGCCAATGCCTGACCCTGCTCAGATGGCCAAGAACCTGAGACTAGACAGGCTGTGGACATAGAGAAAAATCAAACACCATTCTTTTGCTAAAGGAACATAGCACCAAAGTGTCTCCTAGAGACATTCTGCTATGCTCATAGTTCAGTGTCTGTCTCAGAGAAACTTCCTTCTGCAGTACATGGGAACTAATATGGAGGCCTACAATTGGACAACGTACAGAGAGTAAGACACCTTGGACCACTCAGTCCTAAATGGGACATCCTCATCAAGGCCTCCCCTCAGAACTCAGGGAGGTACGCAGAAGCAGAAGAAGAGGCAGAAACATTAGTAGACTCTGTGGATAGGTGACACTAAGGAAAATGTTTCTTCCAGACACAGCGGGGCTGATGCATATATGAACTCACAGAGACTGTGGCAACAGGCCCATGTTCAAGCCAGGAAGCATCCCAGTGCTAAGACAGAGGAGTGGATACAAACTCCTGTCCCTAATAAAGAGGCTATCTCCAATTAACAGCTGCTCTGTCTCTGTCTGTCTGTCTGTCTGTCTGTCTGTCTGTCTGTCTGTCTCTCACACACGCACACATATACATTAGTTTTTTCTAATGGAGTCTCAATGGGTATACAAACAATGCTTAAGGGCAGGTCCCATTGTCAGCAGTAGTTGGTCAACACAAAATGAAGTCAATATATATATTTTCTTGTCTCATATTGCTTTGTTTGGACTTTTATTTATATTACTGGTTTCTTGCTTGTATTCTATGGTTTCCAATTTTATTGTGGATTTTGTTTTTATGTGTCTGTATGTGTATTTGTTTCTTGTGCTTTTTCTCTTCCTTCCTTCCTTTTTTATTTTTTGGCTTGTTTGTTTTCTAAAGAGAAAGAGAAAGAAGGCATGTGTAGGGAGGTGGGGAGGATCTGGGAGGAGATGAGGGAGGGGAAACCATGATCAGACTATATTATATAAAATTAATATAAACTGCCATGGAGGTCATAAATGGCTGGCAGCATATTGGCTGACCTTTCAACTGGTCTAGAGAGGGCAGGTCACTTGGCAAGGTGACCTGATTTTCTTTTCCCTGTAGTCGCAAGCTAAACTACATGCTTAAGCCACCTATACTGTTGTATGGTGCCAAGGGATTAAATCTGGATGGCAAAATGTGCATAGACTAGCCAGTGTAAGCCTGCTGGGTAATTCTGCAGGCTCTTTCCTGTGGCCCTTGCCTTCTAAGCTCACTCAAAGCATGTAGTGACTAAGATGACATTTAGAAGTAGCTTCTTTTCGCTGCTGCAGAAGAAGCATACAGCCACAGTCACAACGATTTCCATCTTGCCAAAACAGTGGTACATACATTTCCAGAAGTGGTCGTTTATTTTTGTTGGAGATTTTGTGATTTAATTAAAACATGCTGGCAGATTTAAGAGCGTTCTGGTAGAATCTTTTTAAAATTCATTTTGTTATTTTCAAATTAGGCTGCCTGATCTCTCTCTCTTTCTGTCTCTGTCTGTCTGTCTGTCTCTGTCTGTCTGTCTCTGCCCCCCCCCCCGACCTTTCTGTTAGCTGAGTCTTCTGTGAAATTCTATGAAGGCGTGTCTGACATCTCACCTCTCAGCAGCTCAGGGACACTCTGTTACTACTTCCAGCTCCGTCTCTGGAACAAGAAAGGAGGGTTCGCTTTTATGACCTGTTGCTGGTGTTCTGTCACCCTCCTTTTCGCTAAGTTTGCTAGAAGCATGGGTGCTTGAGGTTGCTGGTGGGGAGTGATGCTAAAGTGACAGTCACTGGCTGAAACGGGAAAGGAGGGAAGTCCCCAAACATTAGTTGACCCGGTTTTTGAATTTGGATTGCGTGAAGGTCTGTGAGGCAACATCATCAAGAATCGATATCAGAGGACCATAGCTATTCAGTCAGTTAAGTGTAGCAAAGTCAAGATGTAATCAGAGATGGCTCCTGTTAAGATGACATTAGTGACTTTGCTGAACTTCTGCTTCTTTTTAGATTGGGCCAGGAGGCTGCTGTCATGTAGGAGGGGCAAACTGGGATGGTCCTTTTGATCCCTGGCATGCTCATGTACCTTGGCCTGGCATGGTAATGATGACATGTGGATGGCTCTTGTGTTTTACAAAACAGATCTGGGTCAGGAGCAGAGCTTTTCCACAGGGTTCTGTGTGCAATCATAGGTGAAATCAAGAGCCTAGAATGGATTGTGATAACCTTTACCATGTCTAACCAGGCACTGGATGACCTGGTCAGAGACCAAGGGAAACATATAGCATTTCCTTGTCACAGTGTAGCTCTGCTTCTGTGATCTTCACACAGGACTCCCTGGGATCTGCATGTCCTGAGTGGAGATGTTGCTTAGCATATCCTTCAAGGGTTATTACCGGTTCCAAAGGTGAGCTGATCTCCGTTGATTGTCTGAGTTACTGATTCTACTTTTGAAACCTCAATTCATGTCACTTCCCCCAGAGCACCTCATGGCTCTGGGAAGTCCAACCTGCATCACTCCAACCTTCTGAAAGCAATTGGTTCTTTTAAAACTATTTTTTCAACATTGCCTTGCAACTGTGATTGTTGACTGTTACCTACTCTACAGGATGGTGTCGAGTAAGAATCAGAGGGTTTCATGTGTGCTGGAAAACACTGACTTCAGTGAGTTTCACCAAGAACAAAACAGCAAACCACACAGATCCAGAGACTTGATCGGGAGTCACTACACAAAACTTCATCAGATATAGGGGGTGTTTCGTTTATTTCAAACCTGCTGTATTTTTCAACAGAATATTCAAAGGGGGTTGCTTATGGCTCTGCTGGGGGAGAGGTGGGTGAGCTTCCCTTTATGCAAATGTTGAGAACAGAGAGCTGCTACTTTTGAGAGACATTGCTCCTCCTTTAGCTGTGAGGAAGTATGTCTCTTAGAAAAACATTTCACCAACCAGTTCACCTTACCAAGGTCAAGTTGATGATATTCTGGTAAGCTATGTGGTCAAAATTCACTTCAAGTCTTTTCTTCGAAATCACTTTTCACATAGGGCAGATATGGAAAACACAAGTGTTGCCAGTGAAAATGATTACCCATCATTCACTGGAAAAAAGACAACTTTGTAAGCCGAGTCTACAGGACCTTGCTCTTAATGCCCCGTTATCTGTCCTCTCCACACCCTCCTTCCTCGTTCCCTGTGTGTGAAGAAAACCACCAGGAGAGACTTTTATTTTCTTTTTCTTCTTTTAATTTGTTCAGCATTGAAGGAGGGAAGGTCATAAACATTGATTGTCATTTACAGGAAACATTCAGAAATCATGTGTGCATTATCTGGGAATGCTAACAGTATTCAACTAATAATTTACAGGACATAAAATAAGGACAAATCCCATTACATTCTAAAGTAATATAAAACTCTCTTTAGTTGTTAGGGAGTGCTGCTTTAATCTATTATATTTATAATTAAAAAATTCAATGCTTACTTCCTAAATGACTCAGGCTGCAGTTTTTTACTCACATACACAGAAATTAGGGCTTATATATTAAACAAGGGAGGAGAGAGAGAGACAGAGAGAGAGAGACAGAGAGAGAGAGACAGAAAGAGAGAGAGAGACAGAGAGAGAGAGAAAGAGAGAGAGACAGAGAGAGAGCAGAAAATTGTAGATTTAAAAACTACATATATCACTGGGTTTATTTGTAGTTTGTCTTTTGCCTCTACAGGCTGGTAAGAGTATATGGTAATAGCATAATTCAGCTCCTGAAGAATCAGTGGTTGACTACAGGAGACATTGCTCTTTTTTTTTAAAGTATACTTAGCTTTTCAGAATGAATGCTTTTATTTTACATACTTGTGGCAATGCAGCGTTGGGGGCATTGCCAGCAGTGGTGTGCATGCTAAGGAGGAGCAAGCTATACCTTCCAGGCTGCTCCTCCAGGTGCAGCTGTGGAGTAGGCACAGCCAAGACCCGGACAGTCCTGGGCTTCACCTCTGGACTCAGTGGCTCTGCACCTTGTACTGTAGGCTGGAGCTGTGGCAGAAGCATTAAATCTCAGAACATCAGAAGGACAGGAAAATCATTTATCTCAATCCTAAAAGCGAGGGAGCATTGTCAGGGATTTCAAAAATATTGGAACGTCTCATTTAAATCTAAATATCTTTTTATTTTATAAATCGGTCATCATAAAATACTAGCCTTTTATTTGGGATGCAGGAAAAACATCAGTTTCACTGGCCCTGCTCTTGCCTGTGTTGTTATCTTCACCCCATCTCAGATTTTTCCTACCTCTCAGTCTCTCCCCAACCCTCCCCCAGCTTCTTTACAACATTTATTTGGTGGAGGTCAGTTATGGCTTCAGCGAATGAGTGATCTGACCTCAAGTCATTAAAAAGAAATAAACACGTACAAAAATATTTTGTTCATCAGAAAGCAGGGTTTGTTTTCCTTAAGCTATTCCATGCAAAATGCATTTGGACAGAGCCATTTGCTACGAGGAAAGACGACTTCACTTAGACAACAGTCTTTTTTTTTAAGTCTTCCTTTTTCATATTGTCTAGTTTAGATAGAGTTTGTAGGTCTTAGGCCAATCTTCAATACTGAATTCTTTGGAGCAGTTAATTGATAGCCCTGTCCCTTTCTAAGTTGTATTACAAAAAGAAGCATATACTTAACACTGATGACCCGTCAAGATGCTTAAACCATTACAACCGTTTTCCATTTTAAAAACTGAGAGGTACATAACACTCAGGAAGGAAGCAAGTACATATTTTATCTTTGTTGTTTACCCCCCTCTAAAAAAGTGTTACAAAGTCTTAAGCTTAAACTGAGACATAGAAAAATCAGTGTATTCACCGTCTCTAGTTATTTACAGCAAAAATTACAGAGACAGCATACATTGTATTAGACCTTCCACAAGCATATATTAAAAGTAATTACATTTGAAAAAATATTTTTTATTTTTCCTCTACATTTCTACAATACATACTCAGTTCTCTGTGGGTGTAGTTTTCATTCTTGGGTGTGTGTTGATGGGCTGGAGCAAATGGTGCTGTGCTTGGGTGTGGGGCTTGTGGCTTTCTGACATTCCTCATGGGTGTCTATGTCTGGCTGTGCTGGTGACGTGGGGGTGTTCACCATTCGACACAGCCAGAATGTAAGTGTTGTGAGCCTCATGCTGCCAACAGGGGTGCAGACAACCTGCACTTCTCCTTGTTGGTCTTATTTAATTCCAGTAATCTTTGTGCTTTAGTTCTGGCTCTGAGAACAACCACTGGCCTGGTTTCTCTGATCCCCTGGAGGCTGTGCTTTGGTCGTGCGGGAAGCAACGGTTGCCGTGACCAGTTCACCTCGGAGGAATTTCAGCAGCTTAGGAAAAAAGTGCACAGACAGACAGTCCCACCTGCTGTGTAGGAGCCGGTGACCTGCACTTCAGAACAAGGGGGCGAGGCTATCTCGATGATAGAATAAATTGCTGCGAAATGTATAGCTAAGAGAAACTGGGAGAGTGTCACAGATTTGAAGCCATACATTTAAGGACACATGTACAGGCTCAAAAACATAAAAGTTATACATCTGACTTTCAGAAAAAAAATGAACAAGAAACCTAGTTCTCTTGGGCTCTTCCACAGTGGAGCTCGGCAGGACATATGGAAGTGTCTTTTGTAAGCCATCCTTAACCGGCTTGCCTTTATCTTTCAATTACTATTTTGTTCAAGCCACCTGCTATTATATTGCTGCGTAGTAATGGGTAAATATTGAAACTAAATTGAGAATGAGAAGGCCAAGATTTCTCCTCTCCCCCTCTGTACTAGCATCTAATGTCATCTCCCTTCAAACTTAGCCTGACCAGCTCCAGCACAATAGACCTCTAGATACTAGGATTTTTGATATCAAGCCGAGGTGGCAAGCTGGCAGTCTATGAACCTCTTCTGCTCAGAGACGTGGCTGTTTGGTCTTTACTATGCTCAGAGTCAACTGTCATCATTTACAACTGAGACAGCGTACATAATTCAGAAGCACCGTCAGCATGCAACCTTCGTCGAATGGTGGCTGTCCTGTCATAGGCAGGGCATTCCCTTGCCAGCTTGCTACAACTGAAACTATTCGCATCTGTTCCTTGCCATTTTGGGGGGTTTTGAGCTTTTATCTGTTGATTTAAACAGTCAGGTACCTCTGGTTCTGAAACATACTCCTCTCTGGAAGAAAAAGGGTTATTAACCTGTCCCCGAAAGGCCCCATGGCTCCCCACACCAGGCCTTTCTTCTGATTGCACATGTACCAGCAATTGCAAATAGAGCATCAAATAGCACTTCATCCTGGTGGCGTCTCCCTCCTCTTTATGAAGGGATTCTGCAGAGGTTTCCCTCAGGTACACACTTCAGAGCTATTGCTACCTTTCGGTCCTCGTCAGAACAGAGACGTCTTTGCCTGAACCTACTCCCCCTTTGTGATAATTTCAATAGAAACAAGAATTAATACAGGAGAAAAGGATCCAGAAAAAATGATTTGACAGCACCCAAAAATTTCCTGCTTCTGGAATAAAGAGAAACTAAGGATGTAAGCAAACAGCAAAGGAAAAAAAAAAGAACATTTTAAGCTTTCCTTGGGATCTAAGAGTTATCTTAGAATTCGAGCCCCTTATGTGCAGCATTATGGAGAGCCAGTGGGAGGTGGCTGTGCATCTCCAAGGTTTCCTCCTAATAGTTCAGCTTGCCTGCTGGGAAATAACCTGCTTGGTAAGGCAGCCATGATGGAAATGCACTGATGTCCCCTGATGCCTCTTGTTAATATCCAGTTGGGCATAGCCTAGAGTCTTTCAGCTACTGCCAGAGGAATCTAATCACCTAATACCACAGTATTCTATGGTTTTGACTTAGAAGTCCTTTAGCCCAGAACCCTGAAGAAAGTATTAAGACAAATAAAATGCAGGAAATGTGTTTGGAAAGTATATCCTGACCTTCAGTGTCTAATCTGGGAATAAAAGATCCCCAGAAAAACTAACATAAAGAAAGGCCAAGTCACAGACAGCATGGCTCTTCGTATCTGCCAACCCAGATTTGAAATCTCTCATTTTCCCTCCAAAAAATCTGCCTTTTTTTTTTCCTACAGAGTACAGAGTCCCTGGAATTGTCATTCACACAGCCTGTCAGCTGTGTCCTATGACAGTTAGATCCTGCATTTCTTTTGCTAAGGGCTTACACGGGAAACCTGGATTCACTGGGAGATAAGCAGGACAGTCTGGATGGTCTATTCTTTGTTCACTTTAAGAAAGAAACTAATCTCTTTACTTGTGTGGCACTTTTAGGCAGGTCCAAAGAAGAAAAGCATTTCACTCATGTTCTGCCACGACACCACTGGGGCTGGTCTGAAGGCTGTTAGAGAGGGTCTCTCACTGGCATGTTTAATTTGTGCCTCTTAGGTTTTATTGTCTCTTCCTGTTTATCCCTTCCCCTTCTCGAGGATTTTCTTCTTCCTTCCTTCCTTCCTTCCTTCCTTCCTTCCTTCCTTCCTTCCTTCCTTCCTTCCCTTTCTTTTCTTTCCTTTTTTATGAAGCATCCCTGAGCAGATTCAGTGCAACATCTGCATCAAGCAGTGATTGTCATCCTTGAGGCATGAAGGAGACTACAGACCCCAGCTCCTTCTTCCAGAGTGAGCCTCATCCCAGCACATTTTGAACGTCAGCCAGTTCTCAGAAGGAACGGCATGCTGAGACTGTGTGTGGTAAAAGAGTTTTTCTTACTGAAATTTCATGTAGTCACTGAGCTGTTCAAAGGGCAGTGTTTAAAGGCTTTCTTACCATTAAAAACATGACTTGGTCCTCTTTTAAGGGAAAGGTTGGCAACTGCAGCCAAAACTGGAGCTCTCCCCTCTGGAGGGAAAGGGGGCTGTGCCCGTACTGGTTACCACTGTTTGGTTCTGGTTCAGTTCCTCCTAGCTCTGTTTCCTGTCCCTTTGCTTCAAAAGGTTCACGCTGTCCCAATGAAATGCTAGCGCTAGTGGAAATGACACAATTTCAAAACCAGTACCCCCTGAGACAAATGTGGGGAATAATCTTTTCCTACACCACCCGTGGGGCAAAGGAGGAAAAAAAATCCTCAGCTACTTCATCAATTAAGCCAATGTAAATCCTCTAAGGTAAACTGGCGGCACTAAATGACTCCCTTTGCAGCCCAGCGGGATTTACAGGCTGACAATGGGAAACTCTGGGCCAACAGAACAATGAAAACAAAGTTTGACAAGAGTTCAAAGCTCAAAGGGGAATGCCAAGTAGACACAGTAAGCATTGCCTATCACAAGCCAATCATAAAACATACATCAAATTTGGAAGCAGCTTGGTTTAATTGAGCGCCTTCCATTACCCTGTTTTCCTAGCAATCAGAAAAGTATCTTTCCATTAGAAGGAAATATGACTCTTGGAATTAATTCTTTATACAAAGAGCTAGCAGGAGTGACATTTACACCAGAAAGAACTGGGTCCCTGTAGCAGCATAATAAGCAGTCTACAGCTGTCTTCTCAGAACCAAAGGTAATTTGGTTCAATGTAGTTAAATTAATTGAATATAACAGTGGTTGAAAAAGAGATTCATTATTTTAAAGCCTTTTTGTTTTCCCCCAATGGCTTGGAATTCATCAATCATGAGGTGAGAAAAGCCCCTGTTTTTGAAAAGGAAAGATTAACAGTACTACTGTTTGGGTTGTCCTCCAGAGTTCTGAGGCGTCTTTGAGATGACTCTCAACCAAGAACTTCAGGAGAGCATAAGAAATTAAAAACAAAAAACAAAAAAACGAAACTAAAAACAAAGCTTCTATGTAGTGAAACAGGTGTGTGTGTGTGTGTGTGTGTGTGTGTGTGTGTGTGTGTGTGTGTGTGTAAGGACAAAGGGCAGGTTTTTATAAGCTAGGGCCTGTGCCATACTTAAAGTACATCATAGCTTTTGATGTCTTACACATGAATGTGTCCCCTAGCTGTTTCTTCAAAAGTCTTAGTTTAGACTAGATCATATTAAAGGCTTTTTCTGGTGGCTAATTTCATAGGGATATGGGTGAAGACCCTGCATAGAGCACCTTTGCATTCTGCTCTTTTAAGTGGCTAAAAAAATAACCAGTATGTCCGGACAGAGGATGCCATTTCAATCTGTGTAGGAAAGAATTTTGGCTTTGGGATATATCAGTCTCATAAACAAAACACTTATTTTTTCTAATCTTTTACAGTTTTGCTCTATTTTTATAATACAGTATTTTGAAGCTGAAAAATTAGAGGTCCCAGGCTCTAGATTGCCTTCTCTTTTTTATTAACATGTTTCCTAACAGATTGTAATGAGTATGAATGGAATGAATTACTTCTTTGCTTTGTATGTTCTATTTCTTTCTGTTCTTTAGGGGAAAATGGTTAGAAAATGTCTGCACAAAATAGCACTGGGGCCTTATTTTACCCTTCTTGTCAAATGTTTCTGAAAACATTGATGGTGGTCATAGTCCATAGATTGATTATTTTTTCTTTTTTGCTAAAAAAAGCATGAAAGTCAAATTTCTTTCACAATTTGAAATCTAAATCCAAGGGGGGGGGAACCCTAATATTATGCATTGTTGTAAAAAATAAGAAATATTATTGTCTGGTTTACAGCCTGATTGCTGGAACAGGAAAATGGCTTCAAACCCCATCCCCCCCACCATGTGCCATCTTGTCAGGACTTTCAAGTCATTGATCGAGATGGAGCCTTGAGAAAGCTGCTCTGTGTTACACCGATTCCTTTGTAGACTTGCTTCTGAATGGGTACTATCCTGTTGTTATGTATGGGTGAAAACTCTGGCTGGAAAAGAAAATCCTGATTGTCTAACATGAAAGTAACATATAACAGAAAGTAGTAAATCACACGAGAAAGCCTGAATGAACCTCCATTGCTAGTGGGCACGGTATTTGAAGCCACAGTGCATGAATACGTAATAGTCATATATAATACTCTTCCATATTATATACTCATTACATACATGCACAGTACTTTCCAAGACAGTTACAAATTTCCACATGCATCAACTATCTAAAAACATAGAAATAGGTAAGCCTAGTAAGTGGAATTTCCTTAAATTATATTTGAACAATCAACAGGAAAAGTAACCATGTAAAGTACGGCTCTGTTCTTGTATATATCTACAATAAAATTCTATAAACAGTGGTCTCCAAAACATACCCGAATAAAATTAAAAAAGATAACACCCAGTGTCCTATATTTGTATATTTATGATCATTTCAAAAACAAACAAACAAAAGAGCCCCACTCAGGTGCATATTTACATTCTTCAAACTGTAGCGGTGAAAAATAATTCTATTAAGTGCAGGACATTCCTAATGTTGCAGTAGTGACATTTTCCTTAAGTCTCCATGAACACATTGCTTTTGTCTTAGCGGCGATGCATTCCGTGACTGAGAGTTCTCATCCCCTTCATTTGCAGACCGCAGCACAGTCAGGATTAAAGAGCTCCTTGTACAATGGAGGAAACAGTGTATTCACTATGTCTGGATGAGATTGCTTAAATACCTGCAGCTTCTCCCCATGCAAGTTGCAGACTGCCGTGATAGTTGGTATCTTGGCTATTAACTGCAGAACACAGAGACAGAGGGAGACAAAGAGGGAAGCTCGTTAGTGGACTGTCTTGTGAATTAGTGTCTTTTAGGGTCCCGGATAAAGGTAAATGGCTTTGGAAAAAGATGTTCAGAAAGAGAGAGGACTCACTTTCAGCTTCCCTTGAAAAGAAAACAAAAACATTCCTCATCCCATGGTCTAAAGAAAGAAAAGAGAGAGAGAGAGAGAGAGAGAGAGAAAGCTAGCAAGCAAGGAAGGAGGGCTGGTTCATTGTTCTGAAATAAAATATGCACAGGAGGTCTTCTTGTTTAGTATATGTGAGTGGGTGCTGAGCAGGCCAGCCATCTGAATAGGAATCCTGCTTCCTAATGGTCAAGGACACTGAGGCACTTTCTGTCTCAGTCTGTTCACTTGTAAAATGGGCTTGTTAATCCTATCTTTCTCTTTGAGTTATGTGGACGGAGTAAGGAAATTGATATGAAAGTGTTCCTAAATCTGCAGGTATGAAATATAATTGTTAACTAATAGTATTATTATCCATCATTTCCTGCAGACTCCTAGGACATGCATATTAGATTGCTAAGCTTTGAAGGATGATAGTATTAGGAAAATAAAAGAAAGCAGTATGAGGTTATGACACAAAGGCAGACTGTGGGGAGGAAGGGATGGAAACCAGCAGGAGGGGAACTGGGGGTGAGTGGAGAGGGCAGTGGCCACGAATATGAGTGAAGTACACGCTGCCTTATGCATGAAGGTGTCATAATGAAGTTTATTATTTTGTACACTGATTAAAAAATCTGTTTGAGGTATGATCCATAGTACTCGGAAGTCAAACTCACCAAATCTACCTGAGCCTCCCTAATCTTGCTTTCACTATGATGCAGAAAGTGAGAGTGTTTCCTTACGAAAGTCTGAGGGGTCCTGGCTTTGAATGTCCTTGGGGAAGTGTTTCACAAACAAGTGGAAGACCAGCGGGTAATCACCAGGCTTTCGCTGAGTACCCTGTCCCTCCTGCTCCTCTTCCTTCTTTTTCTGTGCTAAAGATGGAACCAGACCCTTGTGCATGCCAAGCGGGTGCTCTGCCATGGAGCTGTGTCTACAGCCAACATCTGTGTGTGATGTGTATGTCAAATCATTATATTATATTATATACAATCATAATCACATATTAAATTGTATTTCCTTGAGTTAAAGCAGAAAAGCAATGTTTGTAATAATTTAAAGGATCCCCATTGAGCTGCATGCTATAAAGGTCTTAGGAGATGAACATTTCTGATGTTAAACATGCTTGCAAACATCCTTTAGTATCCAGTTAGCCTAAGCATGTGTTCATACCGCAATATTACTGTCAGTACTGAATAAACTCTCCTACAGTTCACACAGCTGTTTGAAGATGGACTAAAAAGTGATGATAATAAAATGTAGTTAAGCAAACCCACGTGATGACCTGGTCAGCTCCCCTCTCTCACCAAAAGGAATGTATTTCAGCCTTCGAAGTGCAACAGCAAATGTAATTACCCTGTGGTTCTTCAAAATCAGAATTCCCCCTCATCCACGAGCTTTCCTTCTAACTGCTAATTATTCTGTAAGGATGCTACAAGAAATGTAAAACTAGCTTTAGGAGTAGAGCTGCTGACACACTAAAGGGATCTAGACACATCTTTATGATGTGAGGCTTCAAACATTCAAAGATGTTTGAGGCTTCTGGCTCTGCATCCTAGCCATCTCTGCTGCTGTCTGAAGAAAGGCTAGGAGAGAAAAAAGGTCGACGCTTTGTTGTCCATGTCAGACTTCAGACTGAGCATCAAGACTTTATCTTCAACAGTATGAATGGCATTCCTTTCTGTGAAGATACTTTATAGCAATTAACTGCATGCTTATTTTATATCAAGGCTTCACTAGACACCGGAAGGCACAAAGCTGTTCCAGATTTTGCCCATAGTGTTCTTGCTAAGACAATTGGAGATTAAGTTAGCCACACTGATTAATCCTGAGAGAAAAGCTGTGGTCAGAGTGATGGGTGGTAGCCAAGAAGTGGTAGATACTTGGATATCCTAACTTCTTGTCACAAGCCTTCCCTAAGATTGTGACAGCAACTCTGAGCAGGGAAGGAAGAGAGAGAACTGCCCAGGCACTTGGGCAGGGAAACCTCACATGCCCAGGATGGCAGGGGTGGGGGCAAAGATGCTGGGCATGTAATGTGCTGAAGGCAGCTTAGGCTAACTGAGGCAGTAGTTGAGCATGGATTTGGGGTTGATGATGACCGAGAGATGTGCGCAGCCAGAATATGGCAGCTCTTATGGTCCATGTCCCAGTCTTTGGCTTTAAACATAAACAATGGTGACCAGAATACCATTCTGAAAGACTCACTTTGAGTCTGGTGTAGAAAAGTGTCTTTTGTATATCTTTATATGTAAACAGTTTATAAGTGTCCACTTAACTGGAGCCCTTGGGAAATTATTGAAGCTTTCTTAACCAGCTGCCTCACACAGAAGGAAACGACAACAATTTAGAAACACTTCTTGCACATTACAGTGCTCCCTGAAATAGCTATTGAATGCGGAGAAGCTCTGAAAGCCTCCCATAATCATCGGCTGTTGAATTGATGATCTGCAAGCTGCCGAAACTTCCAGATGCAACTGTGAAATGACTGCCAATCTTTAGTGTGCTAAGAATCACTGGAGGGCTTCTTCAAAGTGCAGATAACCAGGACCCTCTCCCAGGGATTCAGTTCCAGTATGTCAGAATCCATGCTTGAAGTAAACATCCCCTGTGAACACTCATGTCATGAGCCCGTGGAATAGGCTCTGAGAAACAACACCTCGGAGGCTCAGATTTGCGGGGAGGAGGGAAACTTTCAAAATCGACAAGTAAATTCTGTATTCTCTCTGAATTGGTCCTATTTCCTGAGTGTTGAGTAGGTTCTTTCAGGTGACAAAGACATTTCCATGTCTACAGAGGGAGACATGTATATGCTCCTTCTATTATATGATGGGGGACAAGTTGAGAGTCCTTGATGACATACAGGCATTACATAGAGAGAATAATGGATGCAGGCTTTGGAATCAGGCTGTCTGTGCTGAGATCCTAGTGCTGCCAAACATACTCAGTCATGGCCAAGTCGCTTAACTCAGCTTCCTTCTTAGCCAGATGTTGTGTTAGGGTTTCTATTGCTGTGATAAAACACTATGACCAAAAAAATCTTGGGGAGGATGGGGTTTATTTCAGTTTACAGCTTATTAGTCCATCACAGAGGGAAGCCAGGTCAGAAACTCAAGTCAGAAACCTGGAGACAGAGGCTGAAGCAGAAGCCATGGAGAAGTGCTGCTCACTGGTTTGTTCCTCACGGCTTACTCAGCCCACTTTATGCTACCATCCAAGACCACCCACTCCTTGTCAGATTGGCCCACCCACGTCAATCATCAATCAAGAAAATGTTCCACAGGCTTGATCACAGGCCAATCTTGTGAAGACATTTTCTCAATTGAGGTTCCCTCTTCCAAAATGACTCTAGTCTGTGTCAAGCTGACATAAAAACTAGCCAGCACAGATGGTGACTATAACATTTCCTGCTTTAGAGGGAGGCTGGGAGGATTTAATGAGTCAATACACATGGTTTTAGAGTGCTGCCTGCCGTCTGCTGACGACACACATGATGGCTATTGTATTAGTTACTTTCTAGTCATTGCAACCAAAATACCAGAGAATGATGTCATGTGCAGGACTTTTATTTTGGGTCACAGTTTCAGAAGTGTCAGTTTATCATGGCACTGAGGAAGTCGTGGGATAGAGGGAATTTTGTCAAGGCAGGCAGCTAGCAGTGTGTGTGTGTGTGTGTGTGTGTGTGTGTGTGTGAGTGTGTGTGTGTGTGTGCACGTGCTTTACTTCATTTTGACTAGACCCTTAGCCCCTGGACACTTTATTCTTTGCAGTTTCCCTGTGATGATTCAAATGAATGGCCCCTAAAGGCTCAGAAATTTGAACACTTAGTCTCTACTTGGTAGAACTGTTTGGGGAAGGATCAGGAGGTGTGGTCTTGTTGGAAGAGGTGTGTCACTGGGGGTGGACTTTACGGTTTCAAAAGACCATGCCGGGGCCCTGCTTCTTTCTTCGCCTCCAACTTTTGGATACAGATGTAAACTCTCAGCTGCTGCTCCAGAGTCATGCCTGCCTATCTGCTGCCAGACTAACTTCGTGCCTTGAGGGTCATGGATTTACTCTCTGAAACTGTAAGCAAGCCCCAGTCAAATGCTTCCTTTTACATGTTGCCTTGGTCCCAGAGTCTGTTAGTAGCAATAGAAAAGTAACTAAGACATCCCCAGCACATTCAGGATTTCTCCCTCAGTTAGTCCTCTCTCGAAGTGCCCTCTCAGACATAGTGTGGTGATTCTCGATCCAGTCAAGCAGACAATGAAAGGTAAGCTGTGATGCTTCCAGTTCCAGCCGTCATTTCCTTCAAGAAGTAGAAGGGGAAGGGCCATGCTCTTCAGTCATAGGATGCCAACAGCAGCAGCAGAGACCCAATGTAGTCTTTGGCTAGGCACCCAAATCTGAGTCTGAGCACATTATATGCTATTTCATGGGAAAATTAGCCACTTGCTTTTATTGCAATGAGTGTGCAAAATCACGATTATTTCTCATTTTCTTCTGGCAATAAATTTGTTCTTTGACTGATTGTAGACTGGAGCCTAGTGCCATGGTTTTTCCAGCCTTTGCTACTTCTCTTATGGGTGGATCATTTGGGAAATTGAAAACATAAGAGCAGGACTGAACTCTTGACGGCTTCTCATTTGACTAGAGGTAGAGAACTGTATGTCTGGTTTTGGCCTCTTTCTGATAAAAATTCACATCTCCGCAGAGCCTGGCTTATTCACTTCTGTCTCTTGTGTGGGACTTAAGTCCGTTTTCTATTGTTTGTCTGTAGAATGGGCTGAGTAGCTAACAGGCACTGTCAGCAGAAGACACCGAGAAAGCGAGAGAGCTTTGTCAAACTCTCCGAAGGGGCTGGCTGAGAC